ACAAACGACCTGGAGCTCGGAGTCACAAGCACAGTGGCTACCTTTGCAGACCACACAAAGTTAATGAAGGTGGAAGACTGCAACGGTGAACAGGATAGGTTAGGAGGACTTGGAACATTCTTGGGAATTGTGCAGATGAAATTTAATGTAGAGAAATGCAAAGGGCAAAAAATCCAGGAAGGGACTATTATTTAAATGGTAAGAAAATAATCTGTATGGAAAATGAAAAGGATTTGAGGATCCTGATTGATAATAAATTGAAGCTATCCCAACAGTGAGTAGTGAGTAAGGCAAACCAGATGCTGGGCTGTATTAAAATGACAATATTGAGCTGAAATAGTGGGGTAATCCTGCCACTTCATAAATCACTGGTGCGACCACACTTGGAATACTGTGTGCAGTTCTGGTCTACGCAATATAAAAAGGATATTGCAGCGATTGAGAGGACACAGAGAAGGGCAACCACAATAATTAAGGGACTGGGCTATGAGGAGTGATTAACTATCTGGGCATGTTCACCCTGGAAAAGGGAAGGTTGAGGGATGATATGATTATGGTTTTTATGATTCCGAAGGGAATAGATAATGTAGACCACGATAAGCTGTTCTTCTTGTACTGAACAGTAGAACCAGAGGACACGGCCTGTGATTGAAGGGGGTAAATTCAGAATAAATTTGCAGAAACACTACTTCAGTGAGTGAGTAGTAAAGTTATGGAACAGGCTCCCCAGGCAGACAGTGAAGCAGAAAATGTCATTTCTTTCAAGGACAAATTAGATAGATTTCTGCTGGGAAATAATATCTTGGGATACAGTGTATAGTTTGGGACACAACATGTCAAGTGACTGCCAGGATGGTGAAAGGCGATCTAGATGGACCTCTGCCTTCTTTTGCCAGCAAACTCTTATGTTAAATTCTTATGCATTAAGTCAACGTGGTCCAACAGGCGGCACCTCAGTGCCTTGCTTGCATGCAAGTAATATTTCTGCTGAAGCAGTTCAACATCAGAAGGCACTGCAACACACAAGACAAAATACAACAAATATACGTGTTGCTCTCATCAGACTGGAAATGCCAGCTGTAAAAGCAAATCTTCACAAAAGCTGGAACACTTCAAACTGCAAGTTTGACTGCATCTTACAAGGTCTGTCTCTCATTTAGAGACGGTGTGAAATGGTAAAAATTTGTGCAGCCAAAATGGCTCGTGCACTTGGTGATGTAAAAATGGCCAATAATTTTGAAATTGTAGCACTGTCTCACCAAATTGTGGCAAGGAGAATAAGTGACATGAACAAACACGTGAATACAAACCTCAGGACAATCGTTGAAAAATGTAAATACTTCTATTAATTCTAGATGAGAATACTTACTGCTAGACGTGCCTGATATCAATCAGCTATTAATTTTTCCATCAGAACCATTGATGTTGTTCATGAAGAATTACTTGAGGCAATTCCTCTGAAAACTGCTAACAAGGAGGTGGATATTTACAAGGTTCTGACTTAAACTGTCAGTAAATACGGTGGATTTCAGAAGCGTTCCTGCTTTGTGACGGATGGTGCAAAATCAATAACCGGCCGTAAAAATGGTTTGGTGGTGAATGGTTTGCTGAAACAAAATGGAATTGAATGTCGAATGCATCATACACCAGGAGTCCCTTTGCGGAAAACCAGCGAAAATGAGTAATGTGGTGATTAATAATCATCAAAGTATGTTATCTGTGGAGGAAATCCAGCCCCAATCAAGTGGGTTTGCTCTCAACTACAACTCCCAGCATGCCTGGCAGCATGCTGGCCCACAGAGGCATGCTGGGAGATGTAGTGGCCTCAGAACCTCTGTTACACAAGACATTTTGGTCACTGAATTGATTATTCTATGGGGAAACAACAACAACAACAAGATTACATGTGTACAGCGCCTTCCACGTTGGGAGGACGTCCCAAGGCGCTGGACAGTGTACAGCATTTCAGACCCGAGCTGGGGTCGGGGGGGGGGGGGGGGGGGGAGAAAGGAGGAGGATGGCCGATGGCATGGTCGAAGAGGAGGGTCTTGAGGCGGGACTTGAAGGAGGCTGAGGAGGGGGTGAGGCGGAGTGACTGGGGGAATGGAAACTCTCTTGATGCTCTTTCACACCACAGGCTTTTCTGGGTACGCTCCCGGACGCTAAAGAGCACTATATAAATACAGGTTGTTGTTGTATGACTTGTGATTCAGTGTTTTAGGATAGTGTTTTTTGGGGTACCCGAGTTTCGGGTTACATGCTTCTTGGGGTGTGTTTGGCCTACTGAAATCCACGACTGTTTATAGGACTGCTGTGCGCAATTGGCTGCCGCCTTTCACCCACAAAATAGTCATTGCTCTTTACAGTATATACTTTTGAGACGTTGCAACAATGTGATAAGGCGCTATGTTGAATGCAAGGATTATTTTATTATTATTTCCTCTTCTTTTTCCTTTTTCTCCGCCCGGGCTCTGGCAGTGTGTGCGACGTCGCTCCCTTCCCCGTCTCCCTGTGCCGGGACTCTGTTTCCTCCTGCAGAGTCACTTCCTGGTCTCCGGTCTCCCTCGCCTCCCCATCCTCGCCGCCCTCGACTCGTTTTCTCTTCCTTTTCTTTCTGCGAGGTTTGTCCGCGTGGCTGGGGGGAGGGGAGGCCTGGGGCTCGCTCCCCGTCCCCACCAAGAAATCCCGCTCCTGCTCAGCCAGACGTGCCAATTTCGCATTCATGGTAAGGCCGTAGCGAGCGCCCCTAGAGGGGAACGGACAGGAGAGGGTTAAAGCCCATTGCTGTGGAGTCCTGTAGAGTAGTCGTTAAAGCGCTCGTCTTGCAAGCGAGAGGACCTGGGTTCAATTCCCGGGAGGGGCGAAACCTTGGGCAAGTTTCCTTACTCCACACTCCTCTGTTTACCTAGCAAGTAAGTAGGAACCTAGTCGTTATTCAATTGATGGATCAGTTTTGATTGATTATTGCCAATAATAATCCCTTCAAAATAAATAAATAATTTGGTCACTCAATCCATGACTGCTTGTGGGACACTACTGTGCACAATTACTGCCGCATTTTGCCCACGCACTTATAGTCAATTAACTTTACAGTGTATTCTGTGAAGCACTTTGAGACGTCTCAAAGATATAAGGCGCTATATGAAATGCAAGGATTATTATTATGAAGGGAGGTCAACAGCCGCCATGTTTCAGCTTCCAGTTATTTATTTATTTTGATTGATTTATCGACTAATTGATTGATTGATTTATGGTCTGAAACATGTGGAAACCCATCACCATGCTTTACAGTCTACAAAACCAAACTGAGAATTCCATGGTTCCCATTTACACTTGGAAATTCCCAAGATAAGCCTGTTGGAATGGAATGCACTCTCTCCCTGGAGGGACACATCCTGTTTACCTAATTCTGGAAAGTATTAGGTGCATATTGGCAGGAGCCAAACCTTGTGGACCCCAGAGTGCACATTGGAATAACTGCTGGAGTCTAACCAGCTAAAACTGTATAGCGTGCCATTGATATTGCTGTCTGGCAAACTTTCCCGCTGATTGTTCAGGTAGGACCACCCTTCCCATTAGTTAGGGCTTGCAGGGTTAACAGAAGCTGAGTAGATGACCCCCTGTCCCCAATGATTGGTTTGCCCTTCCAGGTCCTGTCGATAAGCCAGGCTGGGCTGTGCTGACACCAGCAGTGCCATGGAATACTGCAGACCCACCTGGCTTAGGAACCGGACTACCAAGACCGCCTCCTAAGGAGGATAAGTAGACAGCTCCCAGTTATACACAGCCGCTGTGTTACTGATCTCAGACCCTGGGGTGTCAGCAGGCCCCGCTCTGTGCTGAGTTAACGTTCACTAACAAACAACCCTTTGCTCTATTTCACTCACTTGTGGGCAGTTCGTCCCCCACAGGCTCTGACCAGCTCCTCGTCCGTCAGCCTGCGGCAAACACATTGTGTTAATCACTAACATGGTGCCTCACCACACACACACACAGCGCCTCACACACACACAGAGCATCACACATACGCACTCACAGCGACTCACACACTGTCAGTCGCTGTCACACAAACAATCTATGTCACATCTGTGTCTCAAATGCACATACACAGTGTCACATGCACGTACGCACGCACACAAAGTGTCTCACGCACAGTCACACATACGCACACAGTGTCAGTCGCTGTCGCACTCAAATACTCACACAGTGACACGCACACACATACACAGAGTCAGTTACTGTGTCACTCACATAGTATCTCACAGACACAGACACACACACACAGAGCGTCTCTCACACACGTACAGAATTGTCTCTCACACACACACAGTGCCAGTCATTGACACACAGGCAGAGAGAGAGAGAGAGGCAGGAAGGCAGAGAGACACATAGTGGGCAGAGAGAGACACACACACAAACACACCACCACACACAGTGTCAGTCAGACACATACAAACAGGGTCAGTAACTGATACACACAAATACATACAGTGTTAGTCACTGTAACACACACAGCCAGGCGTGCACACCCGCCCCGAGCTCACACTCTGACTGGCTCTTACCTCCTGACCGAGGACAGATCGAGACGTTCATCCTCATCACTGTCACTGTCTGAGCTTATCACCGGCACCTGCTCCTGCTCGCCACTAGAGGGCAATGTTCCTGCCTGAAACATAGCCCAGGATCAACACCCACCCAGATAACAGCACTCATATAATCACCCAAATAACCCCAGATATAATAATAATCCTTACATTTGATATAGCACCTTATCACGTCGTTTAGACGTCTCAAAGCTCTTCACAAAATATATCTAATCTTCGTACCCCCATCACACCAGTTCTCGCCCGGCTCCACTGGCTCCCCAGCACAGAATGGATCGATTTCAAGAGGATAATGATAATAAGATCCACTCACTCGTCTATAAATCCCTTCATTCCTTACGATAATCCTTGCATTTGATATAGCATTGTGTCACATCATTGAGACGTCTCAAAGCGCTTCATAGAATATATTGTTGAGTGCAGTGACTGGAGTTTGTGAGCGAAACGCGACCGCCAATTGCGCACATCGGTGTCCCACAAACAGTCGAGGATTGAGTGATCACATTGCTTACAGATTGCTTACAATTATTACAGATGTCTCAATAACGTGATAAGGTGCTGTACTCTTGCATTTGATATAGCCCCTTATCACATCATTGAGTATCATTATCTTAAAAGAAAAAACTCACCTTAATGAAGCGCCCGTACAGCAGATTGTTGCAGAGTTGAGCTTTCCGTGGTTTCCTGTTTGTGATTGGAGCCTCGTCCTGTGAGAGGTGTTTGACCTGGACCTCATCCTGCCAACAGCAACAGGTCTTCACGTTAAAAGGCACGTCAGCAGGACAGACGGGCAGAGAGAGACAGGCGGGCAGAGAGAGACAGGCAGGCAGAGAGCGACAAAGGCAGGCAGAGAGACAGAGAGACAGGAGAGCAGAGACAGGCGGCAGAGAGAGACAGAGACAGATGGGCAGAGAGACAGGCAGAGAGAGAAATGCAGAGGCAGAGGGAGAGACACACAAACACACAGTGAGCAGAGAGAAAGAGACAGCGGGCAGGGAGAAAAACACACAGACGGATAGAGAGACACAGTGACACAGACAGAGACATAAACACAGAGGCATAGTGACACACACAGATAGACACAGGAAAATAGACAAAGACACAATGACATAGACAGACAGAGACAGTGTTACAGATAGATAGAGACAACAGTGACACAGACAGACAAGGACACAGTGACACAGATAGACAGACCCTCTCAGGCAGCGAATGCCGAACGCATAGTGAGCCTCACCTGATGTGTTTGCACCAGCATCTTGGCTGAGGCCGTGTTAAACACGTGATCCCACCAGTGAAAGGAGAACTGCTCCCCGGGGTGGTGCCCGACCTGGAACAAGGTCAGACAGTAACAGTCACCTCCCCAGGCATCAGTGACCCCATCAACCTCAACCCCCATCACCCCCTCTCACCAAACTCTCCCCTCAATCCCCATCCCCCCACCCGACAACACCTCCAGCCCCCTCCCCCAACATCCCTCCTTCCATCCCCAGCACCCTCCCCCCAACACCCAGGGCCAACGTATAACTCCCCGGGAGTGAGTGACCACTGCCAACTACACTCCCCACTCATCAACCCACCCACCGCCCCACACCGACACTGTAAGGGAGAAAGGACACACAGACAGTAATAATAATAATCTTTGCTTTTGATATAGTATGTTATCACATTGTTGAGGCATCTCAAAGCACTTCACAGGAAAATAGTAGAGTGCAGTGACTGTGTTTTGTGGGCAAAACAATTGCGCCCAAGTGTCCCACAAACAGTCATAGATTGAATGACCAATTTGCTTTTTTTAAGGGATTATTACCCCCGGAAAGCGATCAGCCAATCAACTAATAACTGGGTTCCTACTTGTCCACCTGAACAGGCAGGTGGGATCTCGGTTCAATGTCTCATCTGAAGGATGGTGACTCTGACAATGCACTGCATTAGAGTGTCAGTTTAGACTGTGTGATTCCTGATGTGGAGCTTGAAAACCCACAACCTTCTGATTCAGAAGCGAGCGTGGCTGGCACACCTGGCTGACAATATGTGGATTCCCGTAGCACAGTGGTTAGCGCGCTCACCTCACAAGCCAGTGAGGTTCGATTCCTGGGCAGGGCAAAACCTTAGGCAAGTTTACTTACTCCACACTCCTCTGATCAAGTAGCAGTAAGTAGGAACCTAGTTGTTAAATCGATTGGCAGATCACTTTCTAGGGGTAATAATCCCTTCAAAAAATAACAAGAATAATTTGGTTACTCAATCCACAACCGTCTGTGGTACACTGCTGTGCACAATTGGCTGCCGCTTTTCGCCCATAAAATGCAGAGTCACTACACTTTACAGTGTATCTTGTGAAATACTTTGAGGTCTCAGTGACGTGATAAGGCACTTTACAAGGATTATTATAATTATTATAAGGAGGAGATTTCGAGCAGTGGGAGAACAAGGGAGAAGATCTGGGTTGGAGCTGGAGTCTCACCCCGGCATTGTCACATTTTAGTTTGACTTTGACGGCCTCACAGATCCCGTCCTCTCGCCGGCCCAGACCTTTACCTGCAACAGAGAAAATTATTCATGTTATTGATAAGAATAATTTGTGTCTTTGTCGGGAGGATGTCTCAAAATGTTTAATTAGTGGGTAAATCTCACTGACTATCAGGCAGGCTCAGAGTGGTTACACGGTTACTTTGCTTGCAGCAGTGCTTGGCTTGGGCATGTTACCTCTCACCTCCTCTACGGACTATAGCTATGGAGCTATGGACTATGGAGTCCTGTAGCTCAGTGGTTAGAGCACTCGCTTTGCAAGTGAGAGACCTGAGTTCAATTCCAGGCAGGGCGAAACCTTGGGCAAGTTTCCTTACTCCACACGCCTAATAATAATCCCTCCAAAACAAAAACAATAATAAATTGGTCATTTTCAATCTACGACTGTTTGTGGGACATTGCTGTGCGCAATTGGCTGCCGCGTTCGCCCACAAATATACAGTCAATTCACTTTACAGTCTATTCTGTGAAGCGCTTTGGGACGTCCTCCCGACGTGAAAAGCGCTATATCAAATGCAAGGATTATTATTATTATTATTATTATAAAGTGAATCTGTGCACATGGAAACCAAATTATGACATCTAAAGCTCTTTCTCTCTCGCACCTTTACCACACTCCAAAGGTTTGGCAACACTATATGGAGATAATGCAGGATGTCTGACATCCCAACATATAGGAGCCACACAGGAGGTTGAGATTACATCTTGGTAACAGAGGCTGAGGTTTGACAGGGTCAGGACGGGAGAGATGTTAGTGGATTAATATGATGAGCTCACAGTTTCGGTCCAGGGTAGAATTCATCAATGTAGTTTGTAGCAACACAGAAAATTGAGGTTAGACACTGTGGCTACATAATAATCCTGGCATTTGATATAGAGTCTTATCACATCTTCGAGACGTCTCAAAGCGCTTCACAGAATATACTGCAAAGTGAATTGACTGTATATTTTGTGGGCGAAATCAGCCGCCGATGGCGTACAGCAGCGTCCCACAAACAGTCGTGGATTGAGTGACCAATTTGTGTATTTTTTAGGGGTTATTACCCCCAGAAAGCGATCCGACAATCGAAATTTGTCTAAGGTTGCTCCCTGCCGGCATCGAACCCGGGTCCTCTCGCTTGTGAGGCGAGCGCTCTAACCCCTGCACTACAGGCCTCCATATTATTATTAATAACCTCAATGACATGACAGGAACTATATCAAATGCAAGGATTATTATTATTATATATTATTACCATCTATCTGTGCGACCCCTAATTATTCATTATTATGGATTATTATCATCTTTAAAAATGCAAATGATTAATGAACAAAAATGATGATCTCAAAATGCAGAATAACCTGCGATTAGGGTCATTTTTATGGATTAAAATCAAAACAGAAGATATTATCTTCTCGGCCCCACAGGGATTCCCCGTCACCGAGCACCGGGCGGGCGCTAGGACCCGCGCCCCCACGCGTCTTGAGTAACCCGGCTCTGCGGGCCGGATGCCACCATCCCCTCCGAGGGCCGGACACGGCCCGCGGGCCGCCAGTCTGCCCGGCTGCCAACGATGGACGACACTCACCGGGGCGCCACCCGCGCGTCTCCAGGTGTCTCTTCCCGAAGCCCTCTCCCCAGGCCGCCATCTTGCAGGAAGTGGCGTCACAAACCGGAAGCACGTGTTGTCGCCGAGCCCCAGACCGCGCCCTACCGTCACACAGCCCCGCCCTCTCGTCACACAGCCCCGCCCCCTCGTCACACAGCCCCGCCCCGTCGTCACACAGCCCCGCCCCCCGGCTCCATATAATGTTATTACTATTAATAATACATTATTACTAATACTATTATATTATATTATTATTACTATTAATGTATCTATATATTATTGCTATTAATCCTATTATGTATTATTATTACTATCAATACTACTATTATATATTATTAATAATTCTATTATATTATTACTGTTAATAATACTGTTATTACATATTGTTGCTATTAATAATACTATCATAATATATTATGTTACTATTAACACTTTTATACTATTAATACTATTATATTATTACTCGTTAATATATATTATATTAATAACATATAATACTACTATTATATATTATTAATAATACTATTATACTATTAATCCCATTATATATTATTACTCGTGTTAATATATATTATATTTTTATATATTATATTAATAATATATAATGCATGTTATATATAATAATAATATATATTATTAATAACAGTATAAAAAATATGTGTGTGTGTAATATATGTGTTGGTTGCTGTGAACTGCAGGAATGGTCCTGGGGATGGAGGAGAAATTAGGAATTAAAATATACCAAAGGAGGAGAGGGGGAGGGGTGAGGGAGGAGAGGGGGGGTGAGGGAGGAGAGGGGGGGGGTGAGGGAGGAGAGGGGGGGGTGAGGGAGGAGAGGGGGGGGTGAGGAGGAAGGGGGGGGTGAGGGAGGAGAGGGGGAGGGGGGGGGGTGAGGGAGGAGAGGGGGAGGGGGGGGGGGGGGGGGAGGGGGGGGAGGGAGGAGGGGGGGAGGGGGGGGGTGAGGAGGAGAGGGGGAGGGGGGGGTGAGGGAGGAGAGGGGGAGGGGTGGGGAGGGAGGAGAGGGGGAGGGGGAGGGGGGGTGAGGGAGGAGGGGGGGGGAGGGGGGGTGAGGGAGGAGAGGGGGAGGGGGGGGTGAGGGAGGAGAGGGGGGGGTGAGGGAGGAGAGGGGGAGGGGTGGGGAGGGAGGAGAGGGGGAGGGGGGGTGAGGGGGGAGGGGGGGAGGGGGGGTGAGGGAGGAGAGGGGGAGGGGGGGGTGATGGAGGAGAGAGGGGGTGGGGAGTGAGGGGGAGGAGCAGCACGTGATCCCCCAATAAGATACAAAGTACGAGGGAAAGTGATACATTAAGCAGCTTTTTGGCGGGAAAGGCCAAAAGGGGGCGGGGCTAAAGGGGATACATGCGGTGATGGGGGAAGGGGGGGGTCAGGGTCCTGCTACTGCTTTTAGGGGGTCAGTTTCCACCGAGTGATGTCACTGTTAAGGTGCCAGACTGGGGGTGTGGGGGGGGAGTGTGGGGGGTAACTCCCCGTTAGGATTGGTTTCTTTCATCATTATCGATGGGGGGAATTTGCTGATAGTTTGTTGATAGTTTCTTAGCTATAAGTTTTGCTGTTGGAAGTTTGCGACGGTTTACCCCGTGTTTGGCGATGGCGTTAAAGCCGGGGCGGGGGCGGGGGCGGGGGGGGCATTTTAATCCAAAAATAACTACTGTTGAACTTCTATAAAACTGGGATCGTTCTCCTTCGAGCAGCGATTAAGGTTACGGGGATATTTAATAGAGATGTTCAAACTTACGAGGGGTTTCGATAGAGCAGATAAGACAGGGAGACACTGTTCCCTCTGGCGGATGGGTCAGTGACACAGATTGAAGATAATTGGCTAAAGAACCGGAGATGAGAAGAATTTTTTTTTAAAAAAAAAGAAAAAACAAAGAAGAGTCGTTACGGTCTGGAACGCTCGGCCCGACAGGGTCGGTGGAAACAGATTCAATCACAGCTTTCAAAAGGGAATTGGATAGGGCTTGAAAAGGAAACGTGTGCAGGGGTGTGGGGTAAAGAGCGGGGGAGTGGGACCAGTCGATGGCTCTTCCAAAGAGCCGGCCCAGGCACGATGGGCCAAATGGTCTCCTTCTGTGCTGTAAGATTCTATGAAAGTCTGCTCGAGTTTCTGTTAGAATAAAGTGTGTGGGATGGGGGGGGTTAATTAGTAGTACAATGCTAATGCTGGGACCATGAACTCACCTGAAGGGTGAAACACTGAGCTGGGGATCAATTGATGGAACTTGAATAAATTTAGGTGCCACGTCTACTATTCATGTTGGTCAACGGATGAAGTAATTGCGGCTCCGTTAACAACCGCAAAAGAGGAAATATTGCGACAGAGGCCACTTAGTAAAGTGTGGAACAGCCACAACCTGAGCTGCGGTTGGGATCAGAGAGGGGTTGAGGGCAAGGGAGGGTGGAGGAGGGAACATGACCGAAGGCACGGTGGAAAAAGAAAATCTTGAGACAGGCCTTGAAAGAGGCAAGGGAGGGGGAGAGGCAGAGGGGCTTTGGGGTGGAGTTCCAGAGGGTGGGGGCAGAAAGGCCTGGCCGCTGATTGTGTAGCAGGCCTGTGTTTACCGAGGGCAGGGCGCGGGCAAGTTGGTGAAGTTTTAATAGGTCACAGAGGTCTGGAAGAGCAAGACCGTGGAGGTCTTTAAAGGTGAGGACAAGGATCTTGAAGTCGTTCCTCTGGGGGATGGGGAGCCGAGCGAGGGTGGGGGCATCAGCTCACACAACTCATGCATTAGACGTTGTACGTTGCACCTCTATGGTCCTAAGAAGACTTGTTTCTCCCTTCGTCACAGCAGGAGTGACGATCAATGTGGAATGGAACCCAACAACGAACAGGGTGGGGCTGGAGAACGGGGAGAAAATGTTCGCTCCTCTGCCCCTGTGAGGTGACAGCAGACTCCAGCCTGGACAGACCCTACTCACGACCACGAGGGACGCCCACCGCCCAAAGTGCCAGTAGGCGACACGGAATCACAGACACGTAAGCACACTCCGTCTCTCTCTCTCTCTCCCACAATCATTCCCCAACCCTTAATTCCAGGAAGCTCCATGAGAACCGTTGTTTAACACCCGAGTTTGGAGATAATAATAATCCTTGCATTTGATATAGTACCTTATCACATCTTCGAGACGTCTCAAAGCGCCTCACAGGATAATAATAATAATGCAATGTATTAATAATATACTGTGGGAAGGCGATTGTGCACAACAGTGTCACACAAAGTCGTAGATTGAAGTGACAAAATTATTATTGTTATTTTTCTTAAGGGAATATTACCCCCATGTGTGTGTGTGGGGGGGGGGGGGAGGTCGGTCGGTGGGTGGGTGGGTGGATGGTGGGTGGGTGGGTGGAGTAAAGAAACTTGCCCAATGTTTCACTTGGGAATGGAACCTGGGTCCTCCCGCTTTCACTCTAACCACCGAGCTGCAGTACTCCACAATGATTTAACTTCACTTAATGTGTACGAGGATTCCTGGCTGAGGTGGGGGAGTAGCTGTCGGGCTGTGCTCTGCTCTCCACCCTTCAAGCCCTGATCTCTTCTCCTGATTGCTCACTGTTGGGTCCAACTCTCTCTAACTTCAGTCGCGCTCGTTCTCTCGGGACTGGGATAAAAACATGGACGAAATGTTTCAGTGAGGGAGAAACTGAATGAAGCCGGTGAATAATAATAATAATAGTGCTTGTGTTTGCTATAGCACCTTATCACATCTTCGAGACGTCTCAAAGCGCTTCACGGAATATAGTGTAAAGTGAATTGACTGTGTGTTTTGTGAGTGAAGCAGATCTTGGGACGTCCTCCTGACGTGAAAGGCGCTCTATAAATGCAATCTTGTTATTGTTGTTGTTGTTGTGAGCAGATCTCAGGTCCAGCGAATTTTGGATGATGTGACAATGAACACGTCTACGCACCTCAGGAGACTTGTTTTTCCTGTGGCCACAGCAGGATCGACGGGGTGGGGGGAAAGAGGACCTGGGAAGCGGCAGCGAGTGCCAGGAGGCAGAGGAATGGTCGGTCGACTTGACGGACTCACCATGGCTATCCTCGTCCACTGAGAGTTCCACGGTCTCCAGCTCAGACCCTGCTCCCGAACGGGAGGAACTCCCCTTACCCAGCGAGGAGGAGCCACACACAGGTAAACGCACTCCCTTCTTCTCCCACACATCAGTACCTGGCCAGCCCAGTCCAGGAATCTCCCTGGTCTTTTGGTCAGTCTCTGTGTCTGATAATTATGGAAACCCATCATTGGACGCTCTGCCTACCTAATTCTGGTGAGTATTAGGCGCTGGTTGGCAACACCCAAGGCTTGGGGGGGGTCCCCAGAGTGTGCATTGGGTAACCTTTGGGGTCTAACCAGCTAAAAACACACAGCGACAGTGAGTGTGTGGGCAGGGGTATGGGGAAGGAGTGACGAGCGGTGATTGACAGACAAGTCCCAGGACGTCCTCAGCCTGACACGCATTCTGGGGCACAAGGCCCAGCAATGTCAAAGGTCAGCGATCGGCCAGAACTGGGTTCAGCTCTGCCTCCCCCTGTCCTATCCCGGCCAAGACACTGGAATCTGGATGGGCAGGGCAGGGCTGCCCCTCCCAGAGCGCTCAGGAAAATAATCACACCAACACTTGGCGCTTAAGGTCTGGGCGTCTGTATGTGCTGGGCGCGGAGATCGGGAGACGGCCTCCGAATCCCAAGAGTTTCCTTTCTCATCAGGAACAGCGAGAAGCCGAAGTCAGAGGAATTCCCTTCTTGCCAAGAGATAATGTGAAGTTTGCCTCTGGTCCACCTCGCCACCTACCTCTGCCACCCATTCAAACTTGTTGCCCAGATGAGTTGTTATTCAGCCCCCGACTGAAGACGCCCAGAACAGTGGCCCTGGTGAGTGTGGCGATGTCCCTGATCTGAGAGACTCCTCTCAGGCACTGGATAGAGAGGTGGGGGGTGGGGGGAGGAGGACGAGGATAATCACAACCACAGTGCACAGCAACCGTACCAGAGATGTGTCCCTCTCACTCTGTGAGCTTGGGAATGTCCAACGCAAGTGATCAGATGAATGACACTAACAGGCTGGGTCAGAATCAGGA